ATCGTCATAATAAGTAGAGTTTCCAAATATTTATCGAAGTCATAACTCAAACTGATGATGCGAGCGTATGGCAGAATAATTTTTACAAATGGATACAATATTACAAGCTAAATAATATTGTACAGAAGTTGAAGTTCCGTTCTCGTTGGTCGAGTTAGCATAGCAAGACTGCCGAACAAAGTCTTAACATGATTTCATTTTTAATTTAACCAAGGACGAATTTTCGAAAAAATTTATTAGCAGCACGTTGTAATGAATTAACCAAAATACGCCAAGAGCCAAATCACTTCCAATCCCAATTACCTACATAGGATTCATAATCATAACAAGACTTACTAAATTAACTAAAATAACGTTTGACTCACGTTCTACTAGTTTCGAGTCATAGAGGGGCTTTTCCTCATGAGCAGCGTGCGAGGTTACGGCGAAATTGCGCAACCTTCTATTTACTACTAGTACTAAAATAGTAGAGCTTTTCTCAGTATAATTATATGAGTAACCCTTATTTTTAATTTAACAATATGACTGGTGGAAAATTTTATTATATTACACGGTGCCTATATTATTAGTCGCACTGTGCACCTCAGCCTACGCCTTTGAGAATTAAAAGGCAAGATGTTACGTTAATATTAAAAATACTGTTATACTCTTTCTTGAAAAAAGTTTTGTCAAAGCAATTTAAAGTCAGAGCAGCCAAATCAGTTTGTTTTAGTATAGTAACCCGAAAGTAAACCTTCTGAGACCTTCCTTCCTTCCTCGCACTTCGCAGTAGGTTATAATCGTTCGATATTTCCGCGGTAATATTTTCTCCTTGTATTATTTAATATCCACGAGGTTTCTGGATGTACAATTTGCTTGATGGCATCATCTTTCTTCCACCATATACCAAAGAAATCTTCGAAGATTTATTTCGGATCACGGATTGACTCTGTGAATCTCGCGTAAAGAAAGATTTTACTGAGATTGGGAAAATTCTGTATGAATAGATTTTCGAATATTACATGCGAATAATACATATGTAAATGCGTTTTAGTGTGATAGTGTTGTTTTCTTGTAGGGTCTAACTTGAGTCTTGCAAGATAGGTTAAAAGTGAAGCTTGAATATGCATATATCCCCAAAGTGGCAAGCAGAGATGCCCAATACACATCATATATGCAATCTAACCAGTTATACTATAGACCATACCATGTACCTAATAGTGTATGAGACTATAATTAATTAAAAAACCAAATTCACTTTTACTTAATTAATTACATTCTGACAGTTTAAGCATTTGTGCGGCCTACCCGAATGTTCTTTTGGTTGGTGTTGTTCGTCGGGCCGATCAGCAACATCTGATAGTTGAGGAGATTGGAAACTGACACATGCATGAGTGCTGCACTCGGAACAGGCCCACTCCAACTGTTGTGGATCTTTCTTCAAAAGGCCACTACAGAATCAACTTGCACGGCTCTCGCGCATTATTATTATTATCTGTCTGGACTTTAAGATACAATGACCTCTAAGTGTACTTCAACATTTGTTCTCATAGTAGTCACTTAGGAAATGCCGACCTTATCTAATTATTTAAAGAATGGCGTGTAAAAGTGTTACTTCGTAAACTATTTGCAGAAATAAACATACCTAATGTACAATTTATTATTAAATCCTAATTAAAAGCTTCGTAAAATGCATCCCGATTAAAATGTTTATTACACTGCAACGCATAAAAATATAACAATCCATCAAAATCAATCACTTATACGTATACGAATAAAATTTTAATATCGTACCCTTCAATAAAGCCCGTCCAGTAGGTACGAACCAAAACTTTTCCATTTCAATAATATCAGAAAGTAATTTTCATCTTTTTAAAACACCTTTTGTGTAAAACATTTCATTTCAAAGGGAATTTCGTACTTCAATTTGTGATAAACAAGAATTTATTTTATTTTAAGCGTGAAAAGGTTGATTTTAATTGAACACTCTACGGCAGAATAGGGTTGTCTATTTCGATATTTTCAACGGCGGCGCTTGACAGCTTAACGTCGGACCGCTGACCGCGAACTATTAAAAAAAAAAAAAAAATTAAAACAAAAATTGATTTTTTAAATTACACTGGATCGTTTTTATCTTCTACAGTCGATGCTATCAAAGCTATTAAAGTGTAACGAGATTTTATGTTTATTTTTTTATTTCATTTTTCTGATAGATGTTCAATTTATTGATGTTTTTAATTGGTATGAAGGTTTTGCTGCTGATAGTTATTATTTTATGAATAAGTGAAGTTACTATAGAACTACATTATGTAACTAGAGAATTGTATTGTGAACCTGATTGAAAAAAAGTAACCTATGGAGTTTCTTGCTCGTTCTTCTCCATAGGAATCTACGCCTTGGAATTAACAAATAGCTTCACTTTTAAAAGTGCCTTCCTTGTATACTTGAAATAAATGATTTTCACGGTTGGTGCGGTTGTTAGGCAACTGGCTGCCGCTCAACGTGTCGCAGGTTCGATTCCCGCACGGAATAACTCTTTGTGTGATCCACAGATTGTTGTTCCGGGTCTGGGTGTCATGTGTATGTGAACTTGTATGTTTGTAAACGCACCCACGACACAGGAGAAAATCCTAGTCTGTGGCTACGTTTGTAATAGTAAAGAATGAATGACTTTGACTTTGAGTGCCTCTTCTGAATAGTGTAATTGAAATGCATAATTATAATGCATATTTAAACAAGTACGTATGAAATGCACGTTCGAAATGTTCATTGAATCTGTTAAACATTCAATTAGTATCAGATATGCTTAGACCGATGAAATATCGAACTAATTTATTATAATTTAGGTCCAGAGCAGTGTATAATATCAAATAATAATTAAATACAGCTATAGTCAACTACTCTCATTTTGCTCAATGCACTTGCGAATTTTATACAAACAAAACAGTTATAACTATTCAAAAAATAAGTGACTAATAACAATTATTACATAACATAACATTACGCCTTTTATCCGCGAAGGGGTATTCAGAGGTTCAAATTACGGTTCTTAATGCCACTGTAACTACCTCTACAATATAACACCTACATTTCACTATTTATGTTATGAGTCTATATATAGTGTGAGATAGAGGGTGAGCCTATTGTCATATACCGGTTACAATTTCAGAATCCGTGGTACTACTGAGAATTAAAAAAAAAAACAGTATTACTTTGCCTGACCCGGGAATCGAACCCAAGACCTCGACCTGGCTACCTCGGCAGGCAGGCATAATAATAATAATTATGAAACTTAAAATAACTTTTGCATAATATACATTACTTATAAATAAAGAAAACTTCGACAAAAACCAAATAATTAATTCAGTTTGCAAAAGTCTTTAGAAACTTACAACCCTATTCTTTGAAAACTAGAATTATGTTTTAAAGAACTAAAAATCTCAATATTAAGTACAATTTCTTTGAAATTCAAACTGCTTTAACAACTCTTAGATACAAATTATTCAAAAACTAGTTTTGACTACGACTTTGCCTTTTAAATGAAATATAAATAGTTTTTAATTCGAGATATGATTTAATGGAGTGTCTTATTCGCTGAGTACGACTGCCAATGCCAATGTGCTGTTGGGAGCTTATTCGGTTTGATTCAATAATTTCTCATTATCAACACATAGGTAGTTTGAAATTAATGACAATAGTTTAGTATGTCATGGTGGCCTGGAGCTTTAAGACATCCGCTTCTTATTCATGAGGGTGCGGGTTGGAAACCTACCAACGGCAAGTACCAATGTGACTATTTCCGAGTTATATGTACATACTCTCCAAGATTATCGGACACCACTGACAAATAGTGAAGGAAAACATCGTAAGAAAACCTAGGCTTATAATTTCTAATTATGAGTTTGTAATCGAAAACCCGCATTAAGTAAACGTGGTGATTAATGCTGAAACCTTCTTCGTGTGAGAATTTCCCCCCTCAATAAAAAAGAGATAGCAATGGTACTTTCACCAGTTTAGTTATGAATCCCATGAAACTTGGCGACATTACCATACACCTAATACAATTCCAGATTGTGTATTTTTACAGCTAACTAATTAAAAAAAACTAAAACACCACACAATATTTTTCTCGCCCCTAGAATTAAACCCAAGACGCCATTCTGCATCACACTTGCGGCCACTCGACCGATAAACCAGTCAATTATGCTAAAATCAATCTTAATATTAACATGATTGTCTAATTAGCTGGCTAATCAAGTAGACTATCAGTAATGAGCTATGCATGCTATTGGCATAGCTTTGACAAGCTTCGTTATAGTAAATGGTAATTTATTATAATCATCTAATTAACTAGGCCAGTGAATTTACTTGTTAAATAGTATATAAGAACATTATAAATCTCATGTCCTGTTTTCCAGTCCAAAATATTTTCGAATGCTTTTACTTTTACGAAAAGGAATATGAAAAAATTGGCTCCCCTCATCGATAGATTTGCAAACACAATTATCATTTTCGAATGTTTTGGGGAAAACTCTTTTTAGTTAAAACCACAAGACCACCATGACTGGTGAATATAGAACTCCTACACAACAGGGTCACTCACTGACATGGACTTATAACATTATTAATTGAAGGCCACATTATACAGGGTAGAATTTTCAACTCTCTCTCACTCAACCCGTTTACATTCTCATAAGATTTAAGGCAAATTTGATTTTTACATATCCCCACAAAAACTCATAATTGACCCTGACGATTGACCAATAAAAGTACAGGGTGTAACTTTACACACTTACTTTACACTTTAAGTACAGATTTTAGTCGGTATGATTACCGTGTGAGGCAAGCAAATTTTTAAAAAAATCTTTGAATACCGTTTTCTTTCTTTTCATAATGGAATGTTTTTGTATGTAAGTAAAATTTTCTATCTAAAGTATTATGAGTACATTCCCTTCAGGTGGCAGTACAAAATTCCACCCTGTATTTATAGACGCAAGCTAATAATATTTCAATCCTCTTACCGGATAAGTGTCAGCAGGTTTTCCAGTATTTTCTTTGTAGATACTAATGAGTATTTCCCTCGCTTGATCATATTTCTTCTGCGTCACCAAATACTTGGGGCTTTCGGGTAGCCAGAACACGTACATTATAAACGCTACTAATGCCCATAGAGACATCAAGTATAGATAGAAGTTCCATGTGTTTAGTACTGTGAAATAACGAAATAGTCATTATAGTACGTGAATTTTGAAAAATATATAATAAATTATCTACGGATGACTGAAGGAACAGCATTAGGGCTCGTACAGTAAACTGCGATGCGATGCGAATTCGCCACACAGTAAGTTACGATGCGAATTGCTGCGATGCGATTTCGTGCAACAAGGCGTCTCCCAGAATGACCATTCCTTTGAGGATCATCAACCGTACTAAACGTATTTAAAATTGAGAGCTAGGTCGTGTACGAGCTCTAATTCAGTGGTCGAAAATTTTAACAAATAACGCCACTGTCAAAGTCATGACTTGGCCCGATTTAATAATGGATTAATTGTGTCTTTTACACATTATCTAAATTAGTAAATTACGCAGCATATAGTTTCAAATGCCTTGAAACTAAAGAAAAATCAAAGTAAAAATCCAATCGCACTTTGCCTTAACAATATTGACACGTTAAACGCCATCTTTGTCAGTGGTGACCAGCGTTATCTTCAACTATTTTTGGCTGCAATTAAAACCTTTGTGTTCTTTAACACACAAAGAAACAGCATTTAAAACACACAAAAACAAAACCTCCTTTGTCACTAACAAATCGAATATCACAATCAGTAGCGCCGCTAACCACGAAGGTCGTAAAACAAAATGTCTGCCGCTCCAAAAGTCAAGTGAGCCAGCACAATTACTGGGGAAATTCTAAAAGGTTGACGGAAATCCCTTTTTTAAGTTCAGCCCTTTGTTGTGGGGATTTATTGTGGAGATTCTAAGCAAACATGCTTATTGACTTAACCTGAAGTGTGTTACGTCGGTACTTTTAGGCTTAGGCCCGTGTTAGGCGTTGAAAAATAGACCTATATAGGATTAATGTCAGATGAAAGGACGTTCGCTTTTATCTCAAGTGTTTTCTTTTCAACAATAGGATGGTTTTTTATTGAATTGTTTCGTTAAAAGGTTTGTTTTGGGTTATAAATATTGTTATTTATAACTTTGGAACGAGTAACTATAAAATTAACGAAACTAAGTAAATTAACACTACTCGTTTATAATTTATGTAGGCAAGTAATTAAGACTAAGTCATTTGATCGAGTGCAAGCCGGTGGTCCTGTTAATTAAGAGGTTTTAGTTTGATTCCCAGCTCAGATACAATATTAAAAGCTTGTTATATTGGCATTTTTAGAAATATTACGTATCTAATATTTTAAAATAACCTACCAGACAGATATTGAAATAAAATTAATCATCTATTCTATTCTCAACATCGAAAATAGTATATAGTACCTATAATCAATAATTTTCTCAATTTAATATTAATATTGAAAATTCTTCGTTCAATATTATTTTACTCACCGAATTTGCCACCAAAGAAGGAGTACTTCCAATCATTAGTCAATATGCCCCAAGACATAGCAGCTATGATAACATGAGATACAGCTATGAAAGAAGACTGGCATAACAGCATACGATCTCTTATACTGGAGTAAGAGAACTCCGCAGTAAGAGAGACACAGGCACTGAATGCTGTTGCATATCTGAAAGGTAAAGAAATAATCATTATCTAGGTTTACAGAAGGCCTAACGGGTTGCCGGGGCTCCGGCTCGAAGGGCAGGAACGGGGTGGTTTTTAGTCAGTAAGAGTCCGACACTCCCTCCCACCTCACCCGGGCAGGAGAATTAAAATTGTGACGTCACGTAAAGTTATAACATATAAAGTCCTATTTCCTACTTCCACTAAAAATCAATTTCAAAAATCTAAAACTATATTGAGTCGTGCCTTCAAAACCACACACGGACTATAATAGTAGCAGTCTTGTGTTCATATGACAACCGGGACCGACGGCTTTACGTGTTCATCGAGGCACGAATACTCTCGATTTGTTACGAAATCGATCGATTCTTGGGGCTGATATCGAGTGAATTCTGCTATATATTGTACATTTATGGCATGAGAGTAGTTTTAGAACTGAGCTTCTTATGGGAACGGTTTATGTTGCGCTTGTCAAGCAGGTAGCACTTTGTACACAAGTAGGTAAGTACGTTAAAAGTTATATAATTAAGAATTCAGATTTTATGAAAAAATAATCATAGTTTAGACTGCCTCGCTTGCGACCGTCACACTTGCGACCTCTGCCGCAAGTGTGACGGTCTCGGGTTTAGATCCTGCGTAGGGCAATGTATTACTAGTATTTTTTTAATTCCAGTAGTAGCATGCAGTCTAGAATTGTGCCCGGTATATGGGCAGCAGGCTCACTGCCTATTACATGGGACTCATAACAAAAATAGTGAAAAGTGGGTGTTACATTTGATTGTACAGTGGTATTAAGTGGCCGTAATGTGCACCTCTGCCTACCCTTTCGGGGATAAATGGCGTGGTATTATGATGGTGATGATTATTGGGATTTGTGTCCAGTTTTGGGTTCGGTTTTGATAGACTTTCATTTATACCCACTAGATCTTTAAATAAATTTCGAGTTTTCACAGACCACTAATAGTTTTGTACTAACAGAACCTTTAAACAAAGGGCCCGATTTTGAGTTCGGTTTTGTACAAAATTAATTTATTTTAAATCTTCAAATATTTTTATACAAACTATAGTAGTTTTAAACTAACAAATTCTTATACAAGATTTTTGTTTTACCATCAATTTTAATTACAAACTGCGCTACAAAATCCAGAAAATTCTATTGTGACGGAATAATTACGGCAAGCTTAAAACTGTATTCTTTTGTATTAAAACAATGCTTAGAATTCCAAGTCTGACTTCACAGGAAAAAAGTAAAGAAAAAATATCGTACAAAAGTTCGAGACATGACTAAGAATAATTTAGACTAGACATTAATTTTATTAGCACAAAAGAAAAGCTTTTAGACCTAAAATATAACGTTTTTGTCTAAATTAAATTAGTTTGTGTGTTCTCAAAGTAAAATGCAATTAAAATGTTCATTTGATGGCTTTGATCAAAACAAAAAAAGTGTCCATAATGTGAAGTCTGTTTTGAAAATGAAAATAGATAAACCAGTAATCATCCTCTTTTTGCAATGAGCCTCATTATAGGCTTAAGTAATAGGTTAGTATGTTATTTTAAGACTTGTTCTATGATTGATTTGTATATAATAAATAAACGGAACTAACGTATTAATAATAACAAAATATTTCCCAATATAATGTTTTACCATTAAACGATGTAGTTACTTTTACGTAATTCCTTGTCTAAATAAAAATTAACATGTTTACAAAATAACCACAGCACATTAGCACACCACTAAAACAAAAAAAAAGGAACAAATTAAAACAAATTTTCACTCACAGTAATCCCTCAAAAAACTTCGCTGTAGCGAGAACTTCAAATGTCTGGCTGGAACCGCCAATTAGTTGAAATATAAAAAGTCCAATGAATCCGACTCCCAGAAATATCTTTCTACCAAAAGCATCAGTTAGGAAACCGGCCACCACAGATGATATCAACATTCCTGTGAACAAATTCATTTGGTATTCATAGAAAAGTTAATTTTATTGGTCGTCTTATTGCCTATAAAGTGTAGACAATCGACCTAGGCAATAATCCAGATTAAGGTCAAATGAAACAGCATACGAGATAAATAATCATGGCTTTATGGTTAGGGGTAGCCAGAAGTAACACATTAAAGTTAACTTTTCTTGTCATATCTCAAATTTCGGACTATGAAAAGAAGCATAGACCCAGCAGTTTAGCTTCAAGCAAACCCGTTTTTATAGAATAGTAGTATATTATGAGCATATTATGTAACACTAAATGGATGCTTAGAGTTTAATAATAAAAAATCCATAATGTTTTTGCTGACCTAGAAATCAAAAGCTCACGATAGCTCGATTTTAAATAACTCTTTCATGTACCACCACGTATTAAATTGCATCCTATCTATATATACCTAGTCGCGGAGAACCTAACGGATAACCGGGGCTCCGGCTCGACGTGCAGGAGAAGGAACGGGGTGGTTTTTAGTCAGTAAGAGTCTGACACTCCCTCCCGCCTCACCCAGGCGGGAGCAGACATTCGATGATTTTCCCCCGTTAATAAAAAATCTATATACCTATCGCACACTTTAGACCCCCAACACCAAAAAGCCATTTTTTCAATCGAGTTTCTTTTAAAACCGTCTATACTAGTGCAAGTACTACTCCACTCGATACTTCAACCTTCATATATCATGCATTCGAATCGATCGCAATAGTTAGCTTCGGTTCGCTGCCATTTCTTGTCCGTTCGACCTCGGAGCATGTTCCTTCAGCAATAAATTTACGTCCAGGTGTTACTTTTCCATTAGCCCGCATAACTCTTGGTGCTATAAATTTGACCTGTTCCTTGACATAAGTGATGTGTTCAGCATTATAAGAAATAATTTCTAATATAACCCTGTCTTTGACTTTCAAGACTTTCTTTTTCATATTTTGTAGGAAAAATAATGGGTTTGGTCAACTTTTTATGAATGTTTAGTTTGTTTGACTGTTGATTATGAGTTTTAGGGTCTTGAGGTCTTGATTTTTGAATTATAACAATATTATGTTACCCTTACCTAGCTGTTACCGACTTCGTTCGCGTGAAATTATTCATATTTCTTGTTAATTTATCCTTTTTTAACGCAACAACGTGTTGATTGGCGAGGCGTATTTGAGACCTAATATGAAATGGAACGTTTATTGTCTACTCAAGTAGGCGACTAATTATAGTGATTGATTTCAAGAGTTTATACTTTAAATTATTATTAACTTGTAGTGTAGGGCTTGCAGTTCAACACTATTTAATATAGCTATAGAATAAATGAATTAACAAAACCATCTATTTAAAGTTGGTTTTTTAAAAAACAAAAAGAATTCAGTCAAACTTACCCACATACGGCATGGCATTCAGCAATCCTTTTTGCAGTAAATCCATTTTCAGGTCACATTCAGCGCTAGGCAGTAAATAGGCTGTCGTAGAACTAGCCAGAATCCCAGCCATAAAACCGACGAAGGCTGTAGATAGCAGCTTTATATGGAACCTTCCAAAAGTACATGCTACTAAGGCTGCATCAATTTCTTTCATCGGAGCTTTCCATTCATCTCGAGCTTTGGCTGGAAATGAAACATATTTCAGTATTGTGTCAGATATACGCGTATATATAACAAGGTGACTAAGTGTTAGTTTGTTCGTTGTAAAGGTTATACAAGTGAAACTACAGACAGACTGCCTCGTTGGCCGAGTGGTCGCAAGTGTGACTGCCGGGCAAGGGGTCTCGGGTTCGATTCCCGGGTCGGGCAAAGTATTACTGGGTTTTTCAAAAAATCTCAGTAGTAGCACGGAGTCTGGAATTGTGCCCGGTATATGGCAATAAGCTCACCCCCTATTACATGGGACTTATAACATACATAGTGAAAAGTGGGTGTTACATTGTACAATGGCATAATGTGCACCTCTGCCTACCCCTTCGGGGATAAAAGGCGTGATGTTATGTAATGTTATGTAAGTGAAACTACAAAGAAATAGATTTTTAAGTCAAACCTTCTCTTATTATAAGTAGTATCAGTAGTACAATGGTATTACTCCTATCATAGCGTAGAAGTAAAACCATTGGAAAAAACTAGTCAATCCAAAAAAACTAATGTAAAGGTCAAATTATGACCATAATTACAAGTTATAAAATTACATCAGGCCTGTAATTGTGTGTAATTACACAGTCCTTGAACTATTTCATAATTTCAGTAATATTGTTGTAATTTGAACCTATGTTTAGTTGAAAGCAAAAAACAATGTTTGGTTTGTAACCACGTTTATGAGTCATTGATTTTTGTTTCTGCTTAAAATCCAAATTACTTCTATTTTACGCGTGATGATAAGTCAATCAATTAGGACATGTTATAACATGTCCAATTACTTTAATATTTAGTTCCTTCTTTCAACTCAAAAGTTGTATTTATACATAACATAACGTCACGCCTTTTATCCCCGATGGGGTACGCAGAAGTGCACATTATGCCACTGTACAATGTAACACCCACTTTTCACTATTTATGTTATGAGTCCCATTTAATAGGGGGTGAGTTTATTGATACCGGGCACAATTACAGACTCCGTGCTACTACTGAGATTTTTTTAAAACCCAGTAATACTTTGCCCGACCCAGGAATTGAACCCGATACCTCTTGCCCGGCAGTCGCACTTGCGACCACTCGGGCAACGAGGCAAATTGTAATCATTCTTAAAAAATTATGTATATAATATACTTTTAATTCACACAACAAAATGTATTTGTTACAAAGATTTTTAAAATACCTATCATGTACGATATTAAAAAAGGTCATTATACTAATGTGGACAACCCTAAACTAAAGAGACCAAAAAGTCGTAACCCAAATTGGATAGGCTGAGCCATTAAATCGAAGATCTTTCTGTAATCACCATCCATCTTCGACAATAACCTAGTTTATGTAGTACCGATAGATCTATTACCTACAATATTGGTTTTAGTCCATCTATTGTTAAAGGTTAATCTAGATTTAGGCCCATCTGACTCAAAAACTGATTCATTGATCTGTCATGATTAATTAATAACACAAATTTTAGGGAACTTTTATTACAATACATGGGTGTTTTATTCTTATTAAATCAGTATAATTATTATGATTTTTTTGTTGCCATCTTCAACCTTTCCATTTATACTAATACATATTATAAAGCTGAAGAGTTTGTTTTTTTGTTTGTTTGTTTGAACGCGCTAATCTCCGAAATTACTAGTACGATTTGAAAACTTCTTTCTGTATTAGATAGCCACTTATCGAGGAATGAATACGTTACAAAATGTCACGCTACGATTAAAAGACGCCGAGGAGAGCTAATGCGATCACCATAGTTTTCTACATCGAACGAAAGTTTTAAGCCAAGCATACACGTACATACACGTATCGGCGACTTGTTGAGCGAAGCTGGCCGATGCCGCCCGACATATTATACGGTAACAATGTGCAACTTACGTCCACAGTAACGTTGAAGTTGTCAGACATGTCGACCAAAGTCCGGCAACGTCGCGCTACTTCATCCGACGTCACTGGTTACACGTTCCGCAGGAGATTTGTGTGTGTAGTGTATCCTTGACTTTATCCCATCGTGCTAATCCTACATAGTATAAAACAAAATCGCTATCCACCGTCTGTCTGTCCCTATGTATGCTTAGATCTTTGAAACTACGCAACGGATTTTGATGCGGTTTTTTTTAATAGATAGAATGATTCTTAAGGAAGGTTTATATGTATAATATATGCATATTGCACCTGTGCGAAGTTGGGGCAGGTCGCTAGTATTATATAAATGCGGACCGTTATTTTTTACTTCTTCACTTCAAAACGACTAAAGAAATCTAAATGAAATTTGGAACAAGGGTAGATTATGGTCTGGAATGCCACATGGGCTACTTGTTATTATGCCCCGGGCACACCAGCGAACTCGCGAGCAGAAGCTAGTACAGCAATATTTACTAAAGCAGCATATTATATAATAAAGTAGATATTAGAAGCCCAATGATTTAGTTTATGTTTAGTTAGGGATACCAATATGTCGAACCGATAACCAAGATCAAGCAATATCCATACAAAACGTCAAAAGGTTTCATGAAACTATATCAACGAGTAATTCTGTGTCAATATAAGAAAACATTATGAAAGATTGTATTTCTGAGAACAACTAAAGATAAGAAGCAAACAAGAAACGAAAGAAATAACTGATACTAATATTTTTCTTGTTATAGTAAATGTAGGATGAAATCTTCCTTCATTGTACTACTGTTATTGTCCCGACCAACTTAAATAGTAAATATTTGAAAATCGAACTTTAGCCTCAACAAAGGAATTCCCATTAAAATTCTGTGTCGGATTTCTGTGTTTAAGTTTAATTAAGAAAGAGGGATTAGCTTTTGCGAGGGGACTCTACTTATGTATTTTATGATTAAAATTTATTTTTAATGGATTCTTTCTTTCATTTTGTGTCATATTCTGGTTGCGAGTTCAGAAGACGGAACATTACTGTAACAATTTGAAACATCACAAAATACATGCGTATTATTTTAACCGTCACATACACAGTGGACTGACTTTCCTAGTAATCGTGAAGTAATGTAAAAACCCAGGTAGCAAAACGAATAACAGACCACAAGTAACCAAACATTTTTCAAAATCCACGACGAAAAAAGTTTTAATTCGATTCATAAATCACCTCATAATACTTAAAAAAAAACTCTCATCGAGCTGATAAAAAACATAAATCTCAAATGTCAAGATGACGTCCAGATTAGCAAGTAACACAAAAAAGTTTTGAGGAAATTTTTTAATAGGCAATAAAATAAAACATTGGAAAATCTTGGAAGCAGCAGACAATGGACTGGCTGTGTTGTCTTACTTCGAACATGAATAAGGCGATCTCGCCCCAGTTCCACAAAACACTGAACGCATTGATAGAAGCGTTAATCAAGCCCGAAACTTTGAAACGAGACTTGTTCTTCGCAGTCCTACTTATTGTGATCAAAGAAAATGATTTTGTGCTCAAGGGAAACAGAGAAATTGACGTTTTAGATTACATATTATCTAGAAAAAGTGATTGTGGAAAAGTTCATCAAATATTTGTTGTTTTGAATCGTTTTGAGGGATGTCCAGTGAATGTAATAGTGTGTCCTTTAAATGATACAATGTTGGTTAATGCCTTTATTGACGCTACTAAGGAGACGCATTCGTTGTGTGTGCCCATTGATGAGTATATGGAGACATCATCCTTGGGTATTCCGTCCAGTTTTCGCCAATTACCTGACTTGGTAGCTTCTTTGAGAGAGAAAATTGTGATTCCAATGAAGGCTAGTGTCCTGAATTTCCACAGCTTGCCTAGTTGTAGTTTACAAGGTCTACCTAATGATGCGTTGTATCAAATTCTGTTAAGTTTATCTCTCAACGATATTCTGAATGTAGCAAAATCTTGCAAAAAGTTGAGTCAGGTTGTGAAGGATGAAACCGTCTGGTCTCGTCTTTTTAGAAGAGATTTTCCTAGGATGAGAAATAATAAAGAAGCTGATTGGCGCAACCTCTATAAGAAGGCTTATGTAAAGAAAAATAAAAGGAATGATAAAAAACCAAACTGTGATCGAAGTTATGCTATGGATCAAATTACTGAGTGGCCCGCTTTTGTGCCCGTGAAAGATTCTCGATTTGAGATTATTTTGTAATGATGATATTTTTGGTGTAAAGTTTATTGTCGAAAAATTAAATGATACTTCTTTCTGTAATTAAGTTCAATTAAAACTCAGCTTGAGAACATTGGCCAGTAGATTTAAATTAATATTAGTATTCATCACCACATAAGTCATAGACCTTTGCCCTTCAGTGGGACATGGCTGAAAATAAAATAAGTCATAGCCATTGGTTATTTTTTATGGAATAGGAAGCAAACAGAGCAGCAGGATCACCTGATGGTAAGCGATCAGCGCTGCCCATGGACACCCCAAACACCAGAGTCATAAGTGCGTTGCCGGTTCAATTACATGAATGGATTATTATAATACAATAACTCTAACGCAGAATTTGAAATCTACATGAGTTTTGTCTGTAGTTATAGTTAGTTTAGTGACTAAATTCATAGTTTATTGTACTTGTGACCAAATTAAAGTCACCTCACTGTTCAATGGGTTGAATGTTCAGCCACGTGCAAAGGAATAGATAAGCCACAACGTTTTGTTTTAATATTTTTTATTTAAATGTAGTATCTAAAGGTTTGTTGGTTTAAAAATGGCCACAAAATGTTCTATGCTTTTTCTATTTGTATCACTTCACAAAGTCTCAGTCTCAAAAGACACTGTGTCTTTTAAGACTGAGGGTTCAAATTTTAATGAAATTTCAGTTTTTAAAATTTTTGGCGTTAGTACTTTTATACTTAATTTGACATTGGTCAGTCTAAGTACGCCACTTACCTCCACCAGTGCCTTTAGCCAAACACCACTTTAGCGCTTGTCTACTGAGTGAGTAGAAAACTTAATGTATGGGGATGACACTTACAAGTGTCAAAATTTACATCAATTCCATATAATTTGGTTTTCTATTCT